ACGCCGTAAAACTTCTTCAAGAGAACTTTGAAAAATTTATAGAAGCAATTGAAGCTCTTTGCAATACCAATGAAAATTTAGATACAAGAGGAGCAGCTGAATCTCTTTTGCCGGTAGTGTGTCAATATACATTTTTATGCTTTTTGTATTTTTGGCACAATATACTGGAAGAAGTAAATAATACTCAAATTTATCTACAGACAAAAGGTCCATCGCTTGATAAAGTTATAATAAAAATAGAAGCTCTTAGTCTTTTTTTAAACGAAGAAAGGCAAAATGTAGTTGACAAGGCACTAAATAAAACATTTTGAGTATCAAAAGAACACGATATTCCAATTGAGAGAAGAATAAGATTGAGAAAGAAGATGGCGGGAGAATTGGTATGTGATACTAAACTCACAATAGAAAAAGAAATTAAAAGAACTATGTATGAATGTATTGATCGTCTAAGTGTTGAACTTCAAGCAAGATCAAAACCATTAAAAAATATTTTAGATATGTTTAAATGTGTCCAAGCTAAATTTTTAGTTTCTGAACATAATAATGAAGAAGACTTGACGTTATCTATTAAAAAATTAACTTCATTTTATGATGAAATATCCCATGATGAACTAATTTTGGAAATTCCACGACTCAAGCGACATCTTAAAGCAGCAGGAATTAATTTGAAAGTAGTTAAAAATTGGACAGCTTTAGATATTTTGACTTTCATCACAGAATGGGACAGAAACGCTTCCAATGCTTTCTCTTACCTTATGATTATTCTTAACTATTTGTGTGTCCGTTGCATCATGTGAAAGTGTCCGTTGCATCATGTGAAAGGAGCTTTTCAAAATTAATACTGATAAAAAATTGTTTACGATTATTTATGGGCCAATCAAGACTTTCTGATCTTGCAATATTATATATAGAGAGTGAGTTTGTCAAAAGCATTGACTTTGATAACGTAATTGATAAATTTGCAAGTTTAAAAGTAAGAAAAGGAAGATTTTAAAGGTTAAGTGTTATGAAAATTTAGGATAATAATTATATAATGATTAAAAAATTTAGTTTAGTGTTTGAAAAACTTAGTTTAGTGATAAAAACATTGAGTTTAGTGATTAAAAAATTAGTTTAGTGATTAAAAAATTTAGTTTAATGATTGAAAAATTTAGTTTTGTGATTAAAAATTAGTGTAGTGGTTGCATAGTGAATAAAAACTATACAAAGTTCAAACTTTTGTGCACATTATTTAAAAAAATATATTTAGTTCATATAGATAGTTAATAATTAAGTTCATTAATATGTTGTTATACATGAACACATCAGTGGCAGAGATTCATTTATAGGACAGATCTGCGTATTTAACAAAGGGTAAGTGAACGTTTAACTTATTTTTCACAGATAGGAAGTTAAAAAATCAGTAGGTTTGCTATTTTATTATTATACTTTACTATCAAATCAAATCCAGGTACTACTGTTTTTTTAAGCATATAAAAGAATAAAACTGATTTTAGACGATTTTAGATGATAATAATTTATTATCGTCTAAAACAGAGATAATTATTTGGCAACAGTTTATTTTCAAATAATTATTTTCTCTGTTATAGACGAGAATTATTTATAGAGAGTTATAGACACTAAATTATTATTGTCGAAAACAAGGTTTAAAATTACATGTGTCAACGTTTCTAAATACTGCTTTAATAATTTCGTATATAAAAATAATTACATATAGTATATGGGTGACACCCTATTTGCCGCCCCGGGTGTCACCATAACTAGGAACGCCACTGTATGAAATCATTAAAAAGAATTGAATAAAATCATAAAATATTTCATTTTACTTACTGCAGATTTCTTAAACAACAAATCGTTTGCTTTTTTGGAATCTAATTTAACATTGTAAAACAAGCAAACTTTCAAGGTAATTAGAAGATCCTGCAAAAGCTTTAGTAATAAAAAATTAACATGATTCTTTTATAAAACTATAGTGTAGGTAAAGGCGTTTAAAACTCAGCAATTATTAAACAGGGAGCCATTGACAATCGAATCGGGAGTTTTTCATTTAAAAGTACGTTTGTCATTTTCTGATAATATGGAAAAGATTTTGTAAAGTAGCAACTTTTCTTCTTGTAAGCATGAAGTAATATCACCAATCTTGTAAATTATGCAATTTACTTTAACAGAAATAATAGATCCTTTTTTAAACTTCAACTTGTCTACTTGTCCATATACATCACCACTTCTTTCCCCTGCTGCATTAAAAAAATTGCTTGTGGTATTAATGATCATCGTTTTACATGCTGAATAGGGAATGTTCTTGAAATTGAAGTGACAAAAATTCTTCACAACCTGATGTTTTCTTTCATAAGCCATACACATATGTTCACGTAGAGGTCCAAACTGTTCAGCCTGAGCAGGGTAGTGGATAAGGAAATGTAACTTTGGAACAGGGTTGCCAGGTTTTTTTTTAGGCAAAAGCCAAAAATGAAACAAAAATAAACCAGAAATAAACCAGACCAAAAAAAAAGGAAAAAATCATAATTTTTTGTTTTAAAGCCTTGTTTATAATTTATATTTTGAAAAAAGTGCTTTTTTATCCAAAAATTCATCCTTGAGTTATAAAATTTAATTTGTAAGAGAGTGAGGGAGGAGGAGAAGAACGACCTAGTAAATGTTTAATGGGGCGCCAGTCCAGCGTTCAAAGCGGCGTGGGGAAAGTAGTTCACTCCCAAAAACCTATACAAAATCCGACACAAAGTTTCTCTCCCTCAAATTAACTTTTTTCATGAAACGAAAACTTAATCAATTTTATTTATTATTGAATAAACCAGAATTAAACCAGGTTTTAAAAAACATACCGGAGAAAACAAAAAAAGACCAAAGACTTTAAAATAAACCAGATTTAAAACAGATTTTCTTATATAAACCAAAACAAAAATTTTAAGCCAAACGATAAAAAAACAACCAGATTTGAGAAATCTGGCTTTAAAAAACACCAGATGGCAACCCTGTTTTGGAATAAATTTATCAGAATACAAATACAAAAATAAGCAATGATGATTTTAAATTAAAGCTTTTAAATCCGATAAAAAAAGAGGAGTAACAGCAGGAGATAAACACAGTTGAAGCGCCTGAATAATTTTTGACAAACAAATGAAATGGACATCAGTTTGACCCATGTGCTCTAAGATAAAAAATGATATAATACGAGAAAGAGTCAAAGTTTGACCACTGCCAAAACTACCACGAATCTGCATTGAGGTATGGATCATATTAGGCTTTTTAATACCATTAGCATAGCTAAATCCTTGCAGCCAATCATTTTTTTCTTTTAAAGTAAAAAAAATTGTTCTGAATGGCATACGACAAAAATAACTCTAACTGAAGCGGAATGAGACCTTCTAACAAATCATGAATAGGATCATACAAAAACTGTTTTGTCACATCAAATCCCGGAATGTTTGACAGTATACTTTTTGAAACAATAGTATTTAGACCATTTTGATTTATCAGCTTTGCTTAAACCAGAGTTTAGCTCAGTCAAGCGTATTATATGTTCAGGAAAGTTGCGAATACTGCATTCTTCATAGTTAGAAAAATCTTTCATTTGTTGTCTGGTTGAGTTACAATTTCTGTAACAGCGCAATGTCTTTTCACTAAAACCTTCTTTAAAACCTTCAATTGTATTTGCAGAAAGAGAGTCACCTGAGAAGTATGCTACTTCAACTGTAATTATTTTTGAAACACCCCTAACTTTAATTACAATTTCATTTTCCAGCTGGCTTATGTAGGAAATAAAATCGCTATAAAGAATACTGTAAAAATATCTTTTACCCATTTAGTATGAGTAAAAATTAACGGAAAGATAGAAGACGTTCTACCACAATACAATGAAGGGATGTTTAAGATTTGAAAGTAAAATACAAACATTTTTTGCTTTTTACGCGCCTTTCTTAAAGGATTTATTACTCCAAGGTCATCACAATATATTCCTATTTTCATGTGGTTTGTGTCCCCATTTACAGCTGTAAAGTCATTAATTTCCTGAGATTGTAATAGGAAAGACAATATTCAATTAAAGGAATTATACAACCTTGCTTATTCAGATCACTTTTGCAGTTGGAGTCGGTAAATTTTTTTTGTAATACCGTGAACGGGGGTGTCTATGAACGCTTTTGAAACATTTTTGTTTCATAGAAGAAAACTGTTGGCCTAATCGCTACCCTTTTTTTTGTAACAGAACATTATACTGTTCAGCTTCCTGAAATGTTCCTAGGCCTGATCAGCACTATGCAGTAAATACCTTAACTTTCTGGTTTTATATGACCATATCCGTATTTCCAAAATGGGGTGAGAATGAACAGCCGATTTGGGATGACTTTAAACAATACATAATAATTTAATTTTTTATTTTGTGCGCATTTTAAGTTGCTCAAAGTCCGTTAATTATAGCTTTTAGCCTCAAAGTGTTATTTAATTTGTTTAATGTGTTCTTTTTGAAAACTGTGGAAGTATAATAAAATAAAATGTTGCCTTTACTTTGTTTAATACTCCTTACTAATTTTTTTCTTTTTTAACTTCGAATTATAGTTCCTAAAGTTTGCAAAAGAAAACTTAAATTATTTGTAGAAAATGTCATTTTTAAATGACCATAAAATCTGAAAAAGACAAGTTATACCATAATTTATAGTTTTATTAGAGCAATATGCGTTTGAACTTGATGTGCGCTAATTTTTATAAAGTTCTGATTAGCGGTTTTTAAGATATGCTATTTAGTTTAATTGCCCGAACCACAGAACCACTATTTGAGACTTACACGAGATGTTTACATTAGGTAAAAAACAAATTTTTTGAGGGCAGCTATAAATTAACTTCTTCATATTATATTTAAATCATCTGAATCAAAATAACACACTATTTAGTTATATCGTGCACTATCATTCACCAATTAGTAAACTTGGTATTGATGTTCATTTTCACCCCGCTGTTCATATTCACCCCCGTTTACGGTACTTTTCCCGTAAATATTGTGTTGAGAGTTTATCACAAGTGGCTTTTAAAGACTCAATGTCAACATTTAATACAGAAAGCATCTCCTTTAAATTACTAAAAATTATGTTCAAAACATTTTGAGCACATCTGTTCCTTGTAAATGTAATGCCAAAGCTCTTAAATAATCTTCATTAATTTTTATGTTACCAATTTGATTCACAACATCATTTTCAACAGTACAGATATTGATCTGGTTAATGGAAAATTTTTGGAATCCTTCAAGACTTTTAAATTTGGACAAACAATTTTCACACAAAACGACTGCTTGGTTGCCATGCAGTTTTAAGTGATAAAGCATAAAACTATAAGTTGAAGTTTTAAAATAACAAACAGAACAGTTATAGTTAATTACCTTTTGTGGTGTCTTGGGTGTGTTTGGAGATGAAGATGAAGTAATTGATGAAGATATTTGTCTTGCCGGAGGCTGAACAACATTAACACAACATTCTTCAGCCATATATTGTGTAATTGGTGTATATAGTTGACTTACCGAAGGCTGAACAACATTTACATGACATTCTTCAGCCATACATTGGTTTTCAAAGTTCCAATTAATTTTATTCGATGATACTACAAAATCTACGTAATCATTTACAATAGATGAAAATTGGCATAACGGTGATGATTGAGCTGTATCAGCCTTATTTAACTCAGGTAAAAAATATAGCACAACATCATTGACAATTTTTTTTTTTAGTATGATATTTGAATTATTGATATGATATTTGAATTCAAACAATCATACTAAAAAAGAAATGAATAATTTTTTGGTGCTATAATTTTATTTTAACAATTTAAAAAAAGTTACAATGTATTTTTAGATTTTGATTTGAAATGATACAACGACACTTAACTTTATAATAACATCTTAACATGTTATTATAAAAGCAAGTCAAGTGTGTTTGATTTGATGTTACTACTATAGTACCATTTCGAATCTAAACTTTACATAACAAATAACATTAAATTAAAATGTTAGATATGATGCATGAGCATATTCTAAGGATAATTTTTAGTTTAAAGTAAAAATCTTTAATGATACAAGGAAATAAATGATTAAATTTTAATAACTTTTGACAATATCTCACGAGATAATTATTGTGCTCAATATAATAAAATAAACCTACCAGCTGCACAAAAGTCTAAAAAATTACTGCTGCTGGCAATAAATATTTCAGCATTTTCTTTAAATATAACTTTAATTGGTTTCATTTTTTTTTACTTTTACCACCTTGTGCTGCCGCTTTAGAATTTTTCTAAACTTCTTATTTAAACATGACAAAATGTGGCAGCATTGACATCAAATATATCAGCAAGTATAAATGTAATACTATCAGTAAAAATAACAGCGAATATCACAGCAAACGTCTTTAAATATAACACCATAACATAAAATCATAACATAACAGCAAATATAACACCATTATAACGCCAAAATTGTTTGGTCTTCAATAATTTTTTCCAATCCGCGAATATAAAAACATAAATAACGGCATTAAAGAATCTGCGTATATAAATGCTGTTATAATGCTGTTACTTTTTTTATTGTGCAGTGCATCCAGATGAATGTTTGACAATCTAGTTCTAAACTTTATAAAAAATAAGCCTGTTGAACTAAACATCCTTTCAGCTTTAACACTGGAAGGTCGAATAGTTAAAAGTGCATTATAAAGCATATCTAAATTATATGATCTTTTGTTAGTTGCTTCAAACAAATTGAATTATTGACGCATAGTTGATTTATTACAACTGACTACAAAGTTGTCTTTTTTTCTCAAAAATTTGCCTAATCTTTCAGCCATAGATTCAGATGACTTTTCTAAATTGATATTACTATTGTTAAACTTATCATTATCTCCTACTTATGGTATATTTTCAATTATAGGGAAAAGTCTACCAGTTATGTCAATAGCTATATTTATCATCTCTGTTTTAGATGGTATGCAAGTTATTATAAATATCACTTTTTAATTTTCAATTTTTTTTTAATTTAATTTTCAGTTATGTAAAAAAACATTAATAAACCAACAAGAGCATGTTTCCTTCTTTGACAATTGTTTTTTTTTTTCAACAACACCTTTCAACAAGAGCAATCTTAAGATTATTTGATAAATAGCTATTTTGAGCATCAAGTCCTGTAACAATAAATTTTAATGTGTTGTCAGTTGTTAATAATGTTGCCTCCCTTCTACTAATGATTTTAGAACCTAAAATATTTGGCTCAAGATATTTTGCTAAACTTTCAACTACTTCAAGCTCATCATAAGACAAAATGAGTTTTTCTAAACTAAAATCCACCACTTACCAACTGCTTTCTTAACTTTAATAAATTTTTGAATCATGGCCAGCATTGAATTCCAACGAGTTTTTGAATCTAAAATAAGTACTAGCTCTTGTCCAAATTCACTTTTAGAATAACGTTTCAAAGTATCCATTTTTAAGGGAGATCTTTTAAAAGTTACAAAAATTTTCTGAACTTTAACCAGAACCTTATGAAGCTCAGTAACAAGATCAGGAGCTTGGTCACTATTTCATTTTCATCATCATCATCATCATCATCATCATCATCATCATCATCATCATCATCATCATCATCATCATCATCATCATCATCATCATCATCATCATCATCATCACCATCATCATCATCATCATCAGTATATGGTTCTCTGTTCGTTATTGCAACAAAGTCATCGGCTCACAGGATTTTAGATTATTGTCGTGCCGCTCAGTATTTTTTAAATTTTTTTTTAGTATTACCAAGATCTAAACTTTTTAGATATGTTATTTTTGAAAAAAAATTTTGAGCAAAAACTTTAAATATAAAAGCCGTTCTAAAAAATGCATTGCATTACCGAATGCATCGAAAAAGAGGGTTTATGCACGGGGATCACAGGCCTTGTGATAAAGCGTCGGGCGATGTGAATTTTACATCGTCCAAGAGCGATTTTGCGTGTAGCTAGGGCTATTTGCGTTGAGGAAAAAATTTTTTGTTTGAGTATATTTAAAGATATTTTTGAGCGGAATTTTAATGAAGTAATTCAAGATTATTTTAACATTTAATAAAGTATTTTAAAAACCACACGCAGTTGAAATAAAAGTTTGAATTAAAAAAATTAAATATGCTCATTATTTACAAGAAGAAAAAATTCAGATTAAAAAAAAAGTTTAAATCTTTTAAGCTAACATTTTAATAAAATTATTCAGCAATAGCAAAGTTGTACTTACTTTCTTTTAGTTTTAGATTTTAAACTTAAATAATTATTTTACGGGGGTTTGTTAGGTTTTAAAATTATCCCATAGATTTAAAAATATTTATTAACTGTTAGACGTATTTAAAGTATTTAAGAGTAATTTCAAGGAAACATTTTAAAAATTGGTGAGCGCAAATAAAAAAAAAAGGAATAATATTAAAACGTCTTCTACTTGATTCAATAAAAAAGTACAGTTATTAAAATTTTTGTAAAAAGTAACTCAAAAAAATTACTTAATAACGATCACTTTTATGTTAAAAATTACCAAAACTCAACGAAGCTTGCTCAAGAACAGCTGCTGAAAAATAAAACGTCAATAGTTTTTCGAATAATTTTTAATAATAATTTTTAAGAATAATTTTTTCGCTGAAATATTTTTTTTATACCTATAAGATTTTTATTCTAACATTTTATTTTATTTTACTAGAAATAAAATTCCTTCAAAACGTGACAAATGTCGAGAAAATAAACAATTGTTTTTACATTTTAAAAAACAAAACATTCCAAAACATTTTTAAATATTAACATTTCTACATAAACGATTTAAAGTAGTTTTGCGGTAATTAAGTAAATTGGTGCAGTTAATGTCGATAAATATGAAAAGCAAATAAAAAGAATTTAATGACGTCAAAAATCACGTCATGCTTATGCGTCGCGCAGTTCTTATTCATCGCAAGGCCTGGGATCATATAATGACATTCGGGTACGTTTTTTTATTCATTTTCTTCAAATCAAGCTATAAACTAAATAAATCCACATTTCTAAATTTTGACATTTTTTATATCATCATTTTTATATCGTGGCGTTTTTAAGTTTCTGAGTTCAAGTAAACTTTATATAATATATTAGTTAACAAATCTCGTACTTGGGTTTTAAAAAAAAAAGGTTCAACAAAATTTTTTTATATACGTTTTTAAAAAAATTTATTCTGCTGGATATAATATTTACCAAATCAAATGTCTAAAAAGTATAAACTTTGCTTTTGAAACGAAAAAGATTTTTTGGAAATTTGATTTTAATTGTGAGGTGTTGCATTACCGAAACTACTCAGGTTGCATTACCGAACTTTCTGGTTTTCGCTTATAAATGAATTTGAAAGGTCTATTTTGCAATCATTTATAAGTTACTATTTTAAGATAAAACTTATTTACTCTTTTTTATCCAAAAAATAAAATTAATGCAGATAATAATTGTAAAATCGAACGGAAATTATTCAAAGTCTCTGAGGCGTGTTATAGGACTTAGGCGTGTTATAGGGTAAAGAGGCGTGTTATAGGGTAAAGAAATGGACAATCAATTAAAACAGGGGAAATTTTTTATTACAGAATATAAAACTATATATTGAATGTTTATGTAAATAAATTTTAAATAAATAAATAAAGCTTTTAATACAACGTTTATAGTTAACAAATGCGCTCATTTTGAATACACAAATAATACTATTTTTGATTATTTTAAAATAAAAACTTTACAACAATCTTCTGACATCTTTCTTTAAATCAAAGTAATGAATTTTTTAAGTATTTTTAAACTAATTTTGACTTTATGGAAAAAATACACACAGCAAATCATTGTTTTAAACAATCTTCCCAGCAAAAATTTTACAGCGGAACTTTAGTAGCCTTTAATAAGCATTTTGAGAGTTTCCCACTTTTTTTCCACTGTGAAAAAGCTCATTGGTTACATAGTGGACCACAATTGGCAGTCGTCATCATGGCTAGCCAACAACTAGCTTTTATATTACATGTTGAAGAGTTATTGGCTAGCCACTTTTAGCGAATCCCTTAAGAAATCTAAAAACTCTATTTAACTGCTCAAAATGCTTATATAGGTCCATTGCAAATCCACTTTAAAATAATTGCTGGGTTAATAAAATAATAGTTGGGTATCATTTTCACAGATTTTTATAAAAACACAGTTTTTTATAGTTTGTTCATATATAAAAGTTCAAAAGTGTTTCATTAATTAAGTTCATAGCCTTAACCAGAAAACCTGATATTATCCTGTTTTATTATTTTTTATAAAAAATTGTATATACCAATTAAAAAAAAATCGTGAATATTATCATTAAGTACATATCTTATTTAAGTTAATTGATCATAAGTTTGAGAATCATAGTTTTTTCATAGATGCTTTGAATGCAAAGGATGCAAACTTTGAATGCAAAGTATGCAAACTATGATTTTGCATAGATGCTTTGAATGCAAAATTTAATTTTGCATTCAAAGCATCTATGCAAAAACTATGATTCTCAAACTTATGATCAAAAAATGCAAAATTACCATTCTAATGTGGTCTTGTTGACAACACGCTCTAACACAATTTTTTGAAAACTTTACTTTGCAGCAATTTAATTGATTATAACTATATTTTTAGAGAAATTCTAACAACATTTTTTTA